CAGTGATTTTTAAAAAGTTGGAAAACTGAAATTTCGACACAACTCAAAGAAGCTGTCGAGGTATGGCGTTCATGAATTCAAAACACTTTTGAAAAACAATTTTGAAAAAGTGCTCACCGGTTAATTTACTATGAATTTCCCCGTACGACCCTCATCGAAGGCTGATGTGGCCATTACACCCTCGTGGGTAACCTGACACCGAAAAAATTGTGGCTCCACAACTTATTTCGATCAGTGCGTCTTATCCATATACTGAAAGGGTACTTTTAAAATAGTCATTGGATTTTTTTGTAGAATCGTAGAATTCTTACTCATTTACTTAGGAGTCATGGAGAGAGTGAAGGTAAAGGGTCTCTAAGCTGTTGTCCATTGTGCCATTTTTCTCATGAATTTAAGCTTTTTTATGACGGAAGGTGCTACCACTTCATTCAGGCAATGTTCTAAATGCTATAGTAAAGGAGAATTATTTACCTACACGTATTTTATGTACTAGCTGCAGTGCTGTGAAGCTGCTTAATAATTGTTTATTATAATTAGAATTTTTATTAGAATCTTTTATGCATTTGTAAGCCTTAATTGTGTGTCAAATGTGGATATTCAGAATATCCACAACTGTTAAATGTAAAATAAGTTTATGTATGCAATTTATTGATTACGTGTCTACAATTGCCCCGTGTCGTGGTGGTGGTTGCCATGGAGACGACGGGGGTGGGATTTTTGGGTGCGCGTCTCTCTTTGTTATAAGTCGTAGTAAGTAAGTAAGTAGGAATAGTCAGTACAGTCGAGTTTTAGTCGTTGTCAAAGTCAGACATTTTGGATTTTAGTAGTCGTGGTAGGCAATCAAGTTTAGAATTGTTAGTTCTTTTTTGTTGCACACGATCAATTTATAATTAAAGTAAGTCATCAATCAACTCGTGTTGTTGCAGAGCTCTGAATTGTGTTGACCATCGTTTAATTGATTTAAATAAAATCTAGTTTAAGTAGATAAAATAATCGTATAATTCACTCAGTCACTTTCTTTAATTCCAACGATCAAAGCACAATTAAATATAACGTAAAGACACTATACTCCGGGTAGGTGATAGCTTGGTTTTTACATTAGTGGTGACCTCGACGTGATTGCTCGTTGGGTCAGTTTTAGTTGAAAGTTGACTAGTTATAGTGGTCAGTGAGTTGTGACTTTTTGAGTGAATTAGTGTACGTGCAAAGACTGTTCCGTGGAAATCCTGTGCTATTGTTGCTGTCTGGACGAGGAGCAGATTCAAAGGAGAGGATTCACATCAAGCCTTGCCTCATTGAGGACCCGACCCTGAGTATTCGGGGGCCGTTCAGGTGATACCTTTCAAGTTTTATTGTTGCTGTGAAGTAGTCCGTGAGGAAGGAGTGACCGACCAGATTGAAATCGGCGTGTCCGGCCCGAGAGGAACGTCAACTTTATTGGTCTATTACTCAATTACTGTCTTGCCTCTTTTGAGGGCCCCATCCTGAGCGTTCGGGAGCCATAGAGGTCGGCGTTGTTGCTGATTGAGTTGATTAACGTGTACTGTTCTAATTATTTTTGTTTGTTGACTCCGAGATATCAACATGGATCGACTGAAGAAGGCGAGGACTCCTGTTCGAGCTTCAATAACAAAGACAATTGATGGTGCAGTTGCGGAGTTGGCGAAGGATCCACCGGACTCAAGAGAACTTACCATTAAATTACGGAAGTTGGAATCTCTCCAGTCGTCGATCAGAGAACATGATGAGAAAGTGCTCACCCAGATGTTGGATGAAAATTGCACGGCGGAAGCTTACACGGAAGAGAGTGCAGCTAATGAAGAATATTCAGATAGAATCAAAGTTGCTATCATGGATATCGAGAAGATATCGAGGAGATTCTTTATGGAGAAACTCGTCCATCAAGTCTAAATGCAAGAAGTAGTTATAACACGCCGAATGGAGAGCATGTACATCGAAATAGGAATTTCAAACTGCCCAAGATCGAACTACAGAAGTACGATGGGAGTTGGAAAGATTGGTTGGGGTGGTGGGCGCAATACCGGCAAATTCACGAAGATGATGAGTTACAAGTAAACGTGAAATTCCAGTATTTGATCCAAGCCATCGTCCCCGGATCAGAAGCAGAGAAGGTGATCAAGATTTATCCGCGCTCGGATCAGAATTATCCCTTGGTGGTTGAAAAGTTGAAATCCAGATTTGGTGATGAGAAGATTTTACGCCAAAGAGAATTGCTGGGGCTTGCTATCAATAATGCCAAGAATTCAAGGGAAGATTTCGACGTGGAGCTGTTACATGACCAGTTGGAAGGTCATTTAAAGAATCTTGAGTCGTTGGGGAAAATAAGTGATCCAACTGAACTTATCTATCCGTTAATGGAATCCAGTCTCCCACAGCAAGTACTACTCCGATGGCAGACCAGTAACCTGAAGGTACGGGAGAAGAAATCTGATATGTCACCCGCTACTAATCTGGAAAACTTGGAGTTTTTGCGACTGGAGGCCCAGAATGCTAAGGAGAGGAAGTTTGTTCAGTCCACGTTTAAGAATCCAATTAAAGAAAAGAACAGGAAGAAGGGTCACATTGAGAAGAATGAAGAATTCCCCACTGCTGCTGGTCTCTATTCAGGTCAACAAGTTGAACAGTGTGTGTTTTGTGGAAAATCCAACCACAACAGCCAAAGGTGTTTCAAGGCGCAGAAAATGCCGCTCGAAGATCCTGGTCAAAGAAAATAAAGGATGCTTCATCTGCCTAGGAAGGGGTCATATTGCGAAGAAGTGTAAAGCGTCGGTATCATGTCGTGTGTGCAAGAGTAATCATCATGAAGTAATGTGTTCTCAAGTCGAGAAGGATGATCAACAGGACAGCTCGTACACGTCTATTTCCACCGATGCAGCTCAAACAAACATCCAATGCCAGAGTGATGTTTTATTGAAGACAGTGCTAGTGAAAGTCGGCTGTCAAGAAAAGAAAGAAGATCGTGTTGTGAGGCTGCTTTTTGACGAAGGAAGTCAAAGAAGCTACATAACCTACAGCACTGCAAAAGCCATCAGAAGTAAGCCAATGGGATCAGAATTCTCCAGAAATGTGCTGTTCGATGGTTCCGTTACTGATGTTGGGCAAGTTTATAAGCATCAAATTTTGCTCCGAAGTCTGTACGGAAGAAGTGGTTTTGAGAGAGAAGCCAATTATTGGAGGGATAGTGCCAAGAGTTCAAAATGGTCCATGGATTCAAGAGTTGAAAGCCAAGGGGATCTTGCTCTCGGACTACTCTCGTCATCAAGTCGCCGAACCAGACATCCAGATTCTAATAGGAAGCGACTTGTGGGGAAGCATCATGACAGGAAGAATGATCAAGTTGAGATGTGGCCTCGTCGCGTGTGAATCGATTTTTGGATGGAGTCTGAGCGGTCCAGTTCCAAAGTTCAATAGTGTGCTGAATGAATCGATCTCAATGTTCACGACTGAAGAAAACGTGCAGGAAATGTGGACATTGGAAGCACTCGGCATTAAGGATCCAATCGAGGTGAAGTCGAAGTTGGATCAAGAATTAATTGCAAAGAAGCATTTTGCAGAGACAGTATCTCGTCAAGCTGATGGACGTTATTCAGTGGGCTTACCATGGATTGGTGAAGAGAAGAATATTCCCAACTGGTGGCAGAGAATAGACTCCAGTCAACAACAAGGAGATTACTGAGCACAGGAAAGTTTGACGTATACGGGGACATTTTCAAGTCTTGGAAGGAAGAGGGAATAGTGGAGGAAGTAAACGTGTATCATTTGGATGACCTAAACTGCCACTACTTGCCCCACCATCCAGTGTTCAAGGAAAGTGTGACGACCCCGGTATTGGGCATGCAATACCGGTATTCCAGTACCGGTATTAACCGGTATTACCGAATACCGAATACCGGTCTTGAGCTAACCAATACCGGTATTCACTTCATAAATTTTACATATTGAGACTAACTTTCAGTTAACCAAATTCCACTTATTAAATCCAAAATTAAAATAATAAGTTGATGGTCACAATTTGGCGGATTATAATCAATGCATTTTTCGTACCAATCATATATTTGAATTAATTTTTAATTATTTTAATTACTGCATATGTACATATGTACGCAGTATGCATTTATTTTTAAAGTTTCAAACAATTGTGTAAAAAAATGCTGAAGAAATTAATTCCCCAAATAGAACATCGAATCGTTTTGTCATGCAGATTGTCTTCTAGAAAAATTTCAGACAAGCTCAAGTTTTCTAGCAAAAATGTTTTAGATGTAAAACACTGTAGGTTTTGAGTTTCTGAGAGAAAATACGAAATTTTCAACGGCTGAATAACTGTTGCTGATATGGTAGCAACGCCAAAAATATGCTACCGTACTTTGACAAATAGACAACTAAAAACTGTCAACTAAAAACTATTTCACGGCTCAAATTTTTAAAATCGCTGAAAATACCTTAGGCAGTTATGAGCGCACACACGAAATGACGATGATGTTAAAACAGTTCAATAGTTTTAGTTTAAGCGCACACGTTTAAAAGTGGATGAATTTGAAAAGGCTGCGATACGGAGTAAATAATCAGAAGTTTGGGGAATACAATGAGTAAAATTTGAACCGGGGGTAATTTTTTGCCCGTGAGCTCTGATAAATTATTACGAAGTTAGGCATATAACTAAAGTTTTTAAGAATATTTATGTTCACTTCTGTAATAATACTTATTCATATGATTACACACAAGCATTTAATTTTCTTAAACGTATGCAATTGCTTTGTGCGAGGATTTTCATTGATATTAGCATGTTTAACAAATTTAACATATGGTGTCGGTAATACCGGTATTACCGAAGGTCTCAATACCGGAAATACCGAATACCGGTTTTGAAAAATGGTACCGGTATTGCATGCCCTACCCCGGTACGACCTGTATTTGATGCCTCTTGCAACACAAAAAGATATCCATCATTGAATGATTGTCTTCACAAAGGACCTAATCTAATGGAACTCATCCCGTCAGTTTTACTCAGATTTCGGGAGAAGAAGATTGGGGTCGTCTCTGATGTTAGGAAGGCGTTTCAAATGATAGACGTACAGAAATCCGACAGGGATTATTTGAGATTCCTGTGGTGGGAGGACCCTGCCGGAAAGAAAATTAAAATTTACCGTCACTGTCGAGTTGTGTTTGGTGTTAACTGTTCACCCTTCTTGCTTGCAGCAGTCGTCGACATGCATCTATCATCAATTGTGGATGGACGACAAGAAGAAGCCCTGAAACTGATGGGAGCACTATACGTGGACAATTGTGTCACGTCAGTCGACAGCGTGGACGAGTATGAAACATTCAAAGTGACTTCAACCAAGATTATGGAAGAAGCGAAGATGGAGTTGAGACAGTGGGAATGTAGTGTTGTGGGGGTTCCCGGAGTCGGCTCGCCTGCCATGAGGGGGTGCGGATTGGGAGACGGCAACACTGACACTCCACAGGAGTCAAGAATACTCCCTACAACAATGGTACTTGGTCTAATTTGGGACAAGTATGAAGATACGCTGTCATGTGACATAAAGATGGGCAATCTCCCGGATAAGTTTACCAAGAGGAGCGTGCTGTCCATGGTTCATAAAGTGTACGATCCCATCGGTTTCAGTTGTCCAGCCTTAATAAAGCCGAAGATGTTGTTACAGAAGGCGTGGGAGAGGAAGACCGGATGGGACGAACCATTACCTATGGAGGAGGCGAAGGAATTCAAGAAATGGTGCGAGGAGCTACCTCACCTAAAATCAATTCACCTCCCACGGTTTATGAAATTAGAAAGTACACGTGTATTGCAGATGCATGTGTTTTGTGATGCGAGTCAGGATGCATATGCTGCTGTTGTGTTTCTTCGCAGCGAAGTTGGGGATCAAGTGGAGATAAGCCTCCTTCAAGCAAAGGCAAGGGTGGCTCCTTTGAAGAAACCAACAATTCCAAGACTCGAGTTAATGGCTGCATTAATTGGGGTGCGACTTTGTGAATCTGTCAAGAGTGCACTCAATTATGAGAACATCCCCACTACATATTGGAGCGACTCAACCACCGTGCTGGCGTGGATTCGAGGTAACGACAATTGGGGGACTTTTGTTGGAAACAGGGTACGAGAAATTTGCACGTATACAGATGCCAAGAATTGGAGGCATGTTCCTGGTCGCCTCAACCCTGCTGACCTGCCATCCCGAGCTACAATTCTGGAGAATTGCTACAGTCAGGATGGTTGATGGGGCCTGATTAGCTCAAAGAATCAGAAGAAACTTGGCCTCACTCAGATGAAGTTATGGACGAGGAGGAAATTAACCAAGAAATGAAGAAATCCAGCAGTGTTGACTTGGCTTGTACTACCGCAGTCGAGATAATTCCAGATCCAAGATTCTCTACTTATTTGAAGAATGTTGCAGTAATTGGCTGGCAGCGTCGCTTGTGGAGAATACTCGTGTACCGAAAGAAGACCGGATCCTGAAGAATTATCTGACAGTCCAGGAATTAAGAGAAGCTGAAATAGTGTTGTTGAGAGAAGTTCAGGCAAGCTTCGTGGACAAATTTCAGACTGGTGGCGGAGTGAAAGTTCAAAGAATGGAAGATGGACTTTTACACGTTAAGACAAGACTACTGAATCGAATTGATTCTGAAGAGTTCAAGATGCCAGTATTACTTCCAAAATCCCATCCGATGGTGCTACAATTGATTCGAGATGCACATCGGAACTATTGTCATGCTGGTGTTCAGTTCATCATGGGGAAGTTACGAGAGAAGTATTGGATCTTGCAAGCTAGGAAGACGATCAGAAGTGTCATCCATAATTGTTCCACGTGTAGAAGATTCGAATCAAAGAAGGTCGAGGTGGAAGAAGCTGCTCTACCAGAGAAGAGGGTCGCTGCGACCGAGCCATTTCAGACGACAGGTGTTGACCTGGCTGGACCACCCTACCTTAAAGATGGATCGAAAGTGTGGATCGTTTTGTTTACGTGTGCAGTGTTCAGAGGAATACATGTGGACTTGATCACCTCCTTGAGCACAGAAGCATTTTTGGAATCTTTGGAAAGATTCATTTACCAATGTGGACGTCCCAATACAATTTATAGTGACAATGGGACTAATTTTGTTGGAGCCGTCAATCTCTTCAAGTCACTGGATTGGACCAAGATCGAGAAAGAGAGTCAAGTGAAAAGAATCCAGTGGATCTTGAACCCACCCACGGGAGCGTGGTGGGGCGGATGGTGGGAGCGACTTATCAGATCAATTAAGGATCTTTTGAAGAGGATGCTAGGGCGAGCCAGGCTGACCTATGACCAGTTGAGGACCTGTCTTTCTTCCGCAGCAGCCGTCATCAATAGTCGTCCACTGACAACCGTGAATGAGGATGAGGACGATCTCATTCCTTTGACACCAGTAATGTTCATGAGAGGTTTAGGAAGATTTAGGAAGATTTAGGAAGGAATATCTCGGTCAATTGGTCCAGGAAGCCAACGAGAAGAAAGCACGACAACTTCAAGTTGGAGATGTTGTCTTAGTCGGTGCTGATAACAAGAAGCGTTTTGACTGGCCGATGGGGCGAATTTTGGAGCTTATCCCAGGGAAGGACGGAGTGTGCAGAGTTTCGAATGTCAAGACATCGAAAGGAACGCTCAAGAGACCACTGCAACGACTCTATCCATTGGAAATCGCTTCCCCCAAGGCAGCCGCGTTACCCATTTCAAGACCCTCACTGGACTCCAAGAAGAAGAAGCAAGTCCAGAATGAACCGGAAGTTGATACTATCGATGAAGAGATAGTGACCAAGTCAGGGAGGATCTCTAAGAAACCAGTTAGATATTCGCAGTGGAATTTGTAGATTACTCATATAGTTTAATTGGATTTAATATTTATGATTTTTTCCTAGGGTAGTTCTTTTGCTCTCACAAAAGAAAGTGGGAGGATGTTAAATGTAAAATAAGTTTATGTATGCAATTTATTGATTACGCGTCTACAATTGCCCCGTGTCGTGGTGGTGGTTGCCATGGAGACGACGGGGGTGGGATTTTTGGGTGCGCGTCTCTCTTTGTTATAAGTCGTAGTAAGTAAGTAAGTAGGAATAGTCAGTACAGTCGAGTTTTAGTCGTTGTCAAAGTCAGACATTTTGGATTTTAGTAGTCGTGGTAGGCAATCAAGTTTAGAATTGTTAGCTCTTTTTTGTTGCACACGATCAATTTATAATTAAAGTAAGTCATCAATCAACTCGTGTTGTTGCAGAGCTCTGAATTGTGTTGACCATCGTTCAATTGATTTAAATAAAATCTAGTTTAAGTAGATAAAATAATCGTATAATTCACTCAGTCACTTTCTTTAATTCCAACGAGCAAAGCACAATTAAATATAACGTAAAGACACTATACTCCGGGTAGGTGATAGCTTGGTTTTTACAACAACAGAATAGCATATTCTTTTGTGCATCGCTCTAATAATAAAATCAGATAAGTGCAACAGCAAGTCCTCGCTCTTCTCGAGTATGACGACGAAAGTGTCCCACTAATTCGGACATGGTGAAAAAAGGGTTCTTGCAGAAGCACAATAACATTCTTCCCGATATGCAGGATTGTGATGCCTCGCGTGCTGCCGAGCTAAATTTCCTTCCATATTTAACTACGGGTTTTTAGCATCAAAAATGATGTTATGCAATGAAAATTAGGCAAAGCGGTCGTCCTGCAAAGGTGTTGTTATGATCAACGTCTAAAATATACATATGTCGAACTAGCACAGTTTAATTGCGTGTAAAAAGGGGAACTAAAGTACATGTACATGTGTATCGTTGGCCGGATAACAAATTCAAACCATAAAAACAACGAATTTCTTGGATTATGTATCACTGTTCTAGAGTATGACGACGACAGTGTGTCACCAAATCGGAAAAGATGGAAAAATGCTTCTGGCAGAAGTGGCATTCTCGTCGATTCGCAGGATTGTGACGCCTCGAGTGTTGAGTTAAATTTTCTTTCGAGTGGCTCTTGTACCCACATTTTTCGCAGGAATGAATCTTGTCTATATTCGCGGGATGTCTGGCCTCCACGTGACGTCTCATATTCCTTGACGTCGAGAACCTTTTGTCACAAAATGTGCACGGATGATTCCTTTGATTTTCATGCACAGATTGCATATGTTGTTGCAAGCTAACTTTACCCAAAAAAGTCTGAGTACAAAGTTCACAGTTAAATATCCTTCGGTTAGATTTTACCAAATGTGTAACCTGTAAAATAAATGCGTAAATGTTTAACCATCGTTAAACTTGTGTTAATCTTGTCCAGCGTAATATTGGTGTAAGAAACACATTTACATATTTGTACCTCGTGACTTTTTAAATTGCACGCGTTTGGGAAAGTTTTCCCACAAGTTGAGCAACTGTGGGGCTTCTCCGTCGTGTGGATGGAAATGTGCCGAGCAAGGTTTGTTCTGAGTTTGAATTCTCTTCCGCAAAGTGTGCACGGAAATCGGGTCGGTTTCTCGGTATGTTCGGTTTTTATGTGCTGCGATACAGCTTCCTTGTTCAAGTAGGTTTTCACACATCCGGGAAATCTACTTGGCAAACGGGCTCGATTCACCGTGCTGTGAACGGCACCAAGGTGTCTCCATAAATTTGTGGATGTGAGAAATACACGGTGACAAACGTTGCAACTGGGTCGTTTCCGGATAGTGTGAAAATGTTTTATATGCATGGATAAGGTGAGTCGATTTTTCGAAATTTTGCCGCAGACCTAAAGATTAATATACAAACTGCTGTATGTGAGGGGTTGAGCTTTGAAATTACTTTCAGGATATGATATGAGTTTAGATGATTACCTCGCATTTCACCTTCGCGTCGGCATCATGCCTTATCATGTGACGCTTCAAGCTTCCTTTGGTGGTGAGCGATTTTGAGCACGTGGCACATGTCCAACTATTTTCTGGACGGGGATCCATTGGATATCTTTTTGGCTTATTTGAACAAAAATCTAGCACATAGCGGAAATATACTTTCTTTTAATGATTTGTTTAAAATTCTACTGGTTTTGAACCGAAAATATGAATTTATTTCGTTCGTATTGTAATAAACCGTAATAGTTAGTCGTCCAACTTGAAACTTTCAAGTTGAAACTTTCAACTTGAAAGTCTAAAACCTTCTCTCAGCTTGTGTGCTTTTACATAAATTTGAGACCAAGTGTATTTTTAGGAAGAAAAAGGTACAGAATGTTTGTGGGAGTCCTGAAGCAAGTAAATCTGTAAATGGTCTGCACTCAAGGGTAGGAAGAAACATATTTTCCACTATTCAAGTCATACATACCTTCGCTTGGATTTAAATAACCAGGTTAACTAAAGGATAAAAATATCCGTTAAAGCCCAGAGGCGAGTAAGGGCTAGAATTATATTTATCTCTTATATAAAGCGTTAAGTCGCTGCCTGCCTGACTCTGTGATCGAGTCCAAGTTACCCCATAGAGAAGACAAAGAAGGAAGCGGAGTAACTACTGAATGAATGCATGCATGAACATGGTGTTACCTACCTGCATGAGTCTGAACTTCGCCTGCACGTGACTTTCACGTACGTACACTTGCCATCAAACTCAAATTAAATGCCTTTGCATATAAACACAGTGTGCAAGTAAATTGAGTGTGTGAGCAGTATACATACGTAGGTGTTTTATTATTAATTTTCAAAAGGTATGTTCCGCACTGTTTCTGACCAAAATTTTGATGAAATAACAAACTTCAAATACATTTAGGAGGCTGTGATTTTTTTCAGCTCTGTGGGTTAACATAAACACTAGCAATAAATCGGCAAACTTTACCTCGACGGAAAAAATGCTAGATTTGCAAATTAAATATCGTAGTGTGATTTAATTTTAAATGCTGGATCGGCAATACGTGTCGCAGATTTATGGTTGAATCCTTAAAATTTACGATGAAGACTGCCCAACACAAAACACAAATTCAATTGGGTCAATAATTTTAAATGATCGCGAAACGAGGTCTCGGACAAAAAGTCGCCAGGACGCTCAAAATCCGTTTCTTCCACAGAAAGGCTCCGGAAATTAGAGGAACAAATAATGAGAGATCCGCGATTGAAACTGTCCTATTTAGCAGATGAGATGGGTGTTTCAAAAGCAGCAATTTGTTCCATGTTAACTGAAGACTTAGGTATGAAAATGGTTTCCGCCCGTTGGGTACCAAAATTGCTTTCAGCATCTCAAAAACAGGATCGAGTCGACTTTTGCAATGCCAATTTTAACCTATTAAATGAAGACTTGAACCTGCTCAATATTTTATTAGTTGCATATGGTACTTGGGTTTACTATTATGACCCGGTGACCAAATAATAATTCCCTCAATGGAAGCACGAGGGGTTGCCACCGCCCGTGAATTGAAAAGTGCAAAAATCTGACAAAAAAATGATGATGACCACTTTCAAGGATACCAAAGGTCCCCTCCTTATAAAATTTATTGCTGTAAATACTACAATAAATGGGGCCGTGTACGCAGGAACCCCGAAGGAGCTGCGTCCTCCGGTTGAAAAGAAACGTGGGGTCAAAATAAAGAGTTGGCCTTTTTTTAGACGACAACGCGCCACCTCATACCTGGCTTTTTGCGAGGGTTAGTGCAGACGAAAATCGCTTTACCTGCACAAACCACACCCCGTGCAGTCCGGACTTGACCCTTAGTGATTATTATTCGTTTCGAAACTTAAAGAAAAACATCAGGGGAAAACGGTTTTCGGATGATAATGAAATCAAGTCGTAAATTTTGGCATATTTTCGAGGTAAATTTTAATGAGTTATTGCTAGTGTTAATGTTAACCTACAGAACTGAAAAAAATCACAGCATTCTAAAAGTATTTGAAGTTTGTTATTTCATCAAAAGTTTGGTCAGAAACAGTGTGGAACATACATTTTGAAAACTAATAATAAAACACCCACGTACATCACTCATCAATAGTGGTTATCATGATAAGTGATCGTGATAAACACTATTAATTAATTATTTTAGTTTGAGAAACTCCACCTACAGCGAGTGGCATATCAATTCGAATGAATTTTTGACGCTGATTCCAACGCCGTCAATAGCTTGGCGTTAATTGTAGAAGTTAACGGGATTTATGGAACTTAACGGGAGCGTGAAGCGTGGGAATTTAAATAGTTAGCTATTCAACTACTCCCACAAGGGGAACTCAAATTGTACTGTGACCAGATCGCTGATGGAAAAAACTTGGTATCCAGGTATTGAGGATACCGGGAAATTTTGCGGACGCCGAAGGCGGCCGCAAAATTTTTTTTTGTCGCCAAAACAAACGAGAAAAAACCAGAAGAAAAAAAATTAAAGAAAAAATACGAAGCGGGAAGGAAAAAACGGGAAGGAGGAAGAAAAAAGAGCGACAAAATACGAAGCGGGAAGGAGAAAACGGGAAGGAGAGAAAAAAAGAGGCGAAAAACTACGAAGCGGGAAGGACAAAAACGGGAAGGAGGGAGAAAAAAGAGCGAAAAAATACTAAGCGGGGAGGGAAAAAATGGGAAGGAGGAAATAAAAAAATACGAAGCGGGAAGGAAAAAAAACGGGAAAAGGGTAGAAGAATTAAAGAAAAAATACGAAGCGGGAAGGACAAAAACGGGAAGGAGGGAGAAAAAAGAGCAAAAAAATACGAAGCGGGGAGGAGGGAGAAAAAAGGGCGAAAAAATATGAAGCGGGGAGGAAACAAACGGGAAGGAGGGAAAAAAATTAAAGAAAAAAATACGAAGCGGGAAGGAAAAAAAACGGGAAAGCGGTAGAAAAATTAAAGAAAAAATACGAAGCGGGAAGGAAAAAAACGGGAAGGAGATAAAAAAGGGCGAAAAAATACGAAGCGGAAAGAAAAAAATTGCGAGGGAGAAAAACGACCGAAAAAAAGACGACGCGGGCAGAAAAAAATTGCGAGGGAGGAAAAACGGACGAAAAAGAGGAAACTGGAAGGAAGATGAGAGAAAATGGAAGACAGAAATACAAAGCGGGAATCGAAAACCTACCGAAAAATTTGAAGCGTAAAGGAAAACCCGTTTTTCTGTCCTGTTTCTTTTAGGTAAGTTTTTAACAAATCCAGGAAAAAGTGGAAAGCTGAATGGAGAAGCGCAAGGAGTTGAACAACCGATGAAAAATACGATCCAGGAGGATAAGATATGAGTTCGCAATTTTTCAATTGACGGGAAAGAAAAAAACGGGTGAGGCGGAGAAGTTACACAACGGGAGGAAAAAGCGGACGGAAAACCGAAAGTGGGAAGAAAATCGGACGAAAAGGATTTGAAACACGGATAATACGAACCGACGTCAAGACTATAAAGCGGGAATTGTCAAATCTGCGTTATCATTAGGGCTGACAAATACGTTCCCAATTTTCAAATCCGGGTTTCGGGTTATCCGTTTTCCTTAAGACCGGATTTAAATCCGGATTGGACTTATTTATTGTTATTATTTATTTCCTTGATATTTGAACGAATCAGATAGATATCAGATAGAATTATTAATTTCAATTGCAATCGCAGCTTTTTTAGAAGTTTCAATATTTTAGAAAATTTTCTGACGACTCATGTAATTTCCAGGCATTTTTATCAGTTCATGAACTGAAAAAATGTAGAATTTCAAAAAAGTGAGTTTGATGTCCGATATTATAAACTAAGTATATTTGAAATGAATAGCATGCCAATTTATTTTTAATTCACACTTCTTGCCAAGATTTGAATCTTTACATCGTAAATGAATATGAATCTTTAAGTTAGGGAAATCCGGATTTCGAAGTATCCAAAATCCGAAAAATCCGGATTTTTCGAATTCGGAGTATCCGGATCTGTCAGCCCTAGTTAGCATAGTCCGACCTATAAAATGCGTTAGTCGCATCCAGTACAAATACCCCAGAATTATTTATGGGGTTCCTGCTTTTTGGAGGCTATTAGTTGTTTTGCTATAAGTTGTTTTGACTAATCCCACTCTCACCATCGTCCGTGAAAGACATTATGCCAAGTTGTATATTATTTGGGAATAGGTTTTAGGTATATATGTGCACGGAGTTAGGTATATATGCTTCTCATGAAAAATCATTTAGCGATCTAAATACAACATAGCGTAGCAGTAAAATTATCTGGGTGGCGGAGATGTGGGGAGCTTGTTTAGTACTTTTAAGTGCACTTCCACACCTTATGATTAGAACAATTTACTTTTTCAAGCTATATTTTATTGAATATGAATTCCTACCGGATATCAATGTTTTTGTTTAATTGAGAACTCCGTCTCGAGGAGTTGTATGCACAATGTGGTAAAACTAGAGGCTTTCAGATCGTTGGAGATAATAAAAATCTGATAAATGCATTTAAAATTTGAATAAATACCGCAAGTCAATTTTTAAATATTATAAGGCAAATTAGTGTGTAAAATCTTGAAAGGAAGCGGGGGTTTCTAACATCCAAAATAGAAATTTGAATGGCGAAATATAAAATTGTTAAGGGAGTTGAAAGTAACATTCAGTCTAGTCTCCAATAAAATAAACCCGAAAAAACGAGATTCTTATGTGAAGAGTAAGTGCAACGGAAAGTTTAAAACAAAACTATTAAAATGATAATCAATTATTTGCATCACCACCCGCTGTATGTTTGATACCACTAAAAAGTTTTAGAAGTTTTTCGTCACATTTTTCGAATTCGTAACAATTTGAAATTATTCGTCGAAATGTGTTTCACCCGATGAGCGGATTTGCGGCCCGTCTTGAACTTAGAGAGCCAAAACGTGTAAAGTATCGTGAATTGAATATTAACTAAGTTTTAATTGAATAAATATAATTATTGAGTATTTGTTGCAATTTATCTATGTGGTATCAAAAATACGGCGGGCGGTGACGCACATAGGTAACTTTATTATCGTTTTAATTATTTTATTTTAAACTTTTGGTTGCACTTATATATGTACTATTCATCTAAGCATCTCTTTTTTTATTTTGCAACTTTTTAAATTGTTCCTTTATTCATCAATTAACAGGGGTGCATGGCATAATGATTAACTGGCATTATTACCACAACATCCCCCAGTGAAGCAATGCTGGGCAAATTTTCAACCGACTTATCTCAGCCATTTGATAACCGATTTTGTTACTCGCGGAAGCAAAAATATAGCAATAGATATACGAAATAATATTTTTTATGTCTGAATTTTGAGTTCTGGTTCACAAAATTACTCTATCGA